AGACTTTCTGAGTGGTGATCCCTGAAAACCACATTAACAAAAAGTAAATAAAGAACTAAACAGATTCACCATCTTCTTCGACCACTTCACCCTAATTCCTTCCCCTCTTACCTGAGAATTTCGTCGAGAAACTGCAGATAACGGAATATCCTAGTAATATTGCTTATGTCAGCCACAGTTATTAAAAGGAATTGAATACCATTAACAATGTAGTTATACCTTTACAAGATCCACATTCTCCGATGTGACAGAGAACCTCCCTTTTATTTGTACCAAATTTGTTTTTGATTTGTCCTCCATTGAATCTTTGAAGCCTTGAAAATCAAAAGAGAACATTCAATGCGATTCCAAAATTTTCCATGCATACCCGTAATATTTTAGGGATTGCATAAAGACTTAAATAAAAGTAATTACCTCCTGATGATTTGATTGGAGCTGATAAACTGTTTGCTGAAGCTCGGTTGGGAAGGTTTAGAGGACCACTAAAACTGGGAGCTTTCCGTACTTGCGGAACCTTGTCAGCCACTTGGTAGTTTTCAATCTCACACCTGATGAACAATTGTTATTTTTATTTCGGATGAATTTAACAAGGTACATGGACTCTCCTGCTAACTCGCAAAAGTTTGTAAATGACCATATAACAAAGCTTTTGCGGCTCATAAGAGATGCAGAATCTTGTAGAGATGCAGAACTTTGATCTATAGAATCTAGACTAAGGGGCTGAAATGAAAATGATGGCCACTCATCAAAAAATGCATACGGCCCAACGTTAGAAAGCAAACATGCCCTTTACATTAGTCTAAAATAGTTGAACATAAGAAAATGGTTCAGTATTATCTATTGGAGCATAAGATAAGAACTCTGATTAATAATGGTTCAACGATTGACTGGAGAAATATGGTATTACAATATACATAAATACACACAGAGCATCATATTTCTCTCATAGACAACTAGTTACAATAGTTGAGATCATATGAGATGCAAGAAAGCTAATAAAATAACCATGCTGACATCATACTGAAAGCGCTGGGAATGTCATCAAAACAATCCTTACTTGGTCACACCCAACTTTCCACTTTCACTAAATATCAGCTCCACAACTATTAAGTAGGACTTTAAATTGTAGTAAACAAAATTAGGCATGGGTATCTGAATCAAGCCTGTAGATACCAATCTTGTTGAGACAATTAAATATTAAAGGAAACAAGAGCTATACGCTGGTCAGGGTTATACTTTTCTCAGAAATACTATCAAGTTATGCACTCAAATATACTTAACAGCTCGTAAGTCGTAACTAAAGAAAGAATATTCCTCAATTTCAAATAAAAATATTATTGATAAATAATAAATAAGGCAATATTTTTTTATTGATTAACCTTTCTGTGTTGCGCACTCTATCTGACATTGAATGACTTAGCATGGCCCCAGGCATGATCGGTCCACTTGAGTTTCACGAGGTCTGCCTGTCTGATTTCTAGTCTTGGCTAGTGCTGCTTCTTTATCTTTATCTACCATAGGTGGCAGCTCTGCTTTTGATTCGCTCTTCTTAAGTTCCTTCTTTTCCTCATTGTCGTGCTCTGTTAAATCACTTTTAGATAACATTTCCTTTATTCATGGGACTTTCAACCACAGGCACGTCATTACCATTTGTCTTTTCCCTGCAGATAATAAAGGAGACAAAGCATTTGAATAAGTCGGCCATGAGAGGAGCATTAAGAAAAATGCATGTCCATCATGTACAAATCTCAAATAAAGCTTTAGAGTACCATAATTCTACATTAAGTAGAAACTGTATTCAAATTAGAGATGGAATAAAACGTCTCTATTACCTGCCAACGTTATTGCTTGTAGCCGCTGGTTTCAACCTAGAACTAGATGCAACCTATGAACCAACAAAAAACAATTATTTTTATACTTCTCTAGCCAGTTCATACATAATTAAAACTAATAGAGATGTAGATAAAAAGAAATAGCTCCATAAGAAGTAAATGGTTTCTCAAAAAGAAAAAAATAAATAAAACTCCAATGACCTTCTCGCTCGTGGTAATTTTTTGGCTGTCTTCTTCTTCCTTGATTTGTCTTATTTCATCCTCGTCTAGCAGCTACCAGGAACAAGACAATTCATAAACTCGATTTACGGTGTTTGTGATTATTATACAATGACTTTTGAACATAAAAGAATTTCCAGTTGACATACCATAGATGCTTGGAGCTTCAAATCCTCAACATCAAAGTTCCACGCACTTACTCCTCTCTGGTACTCACTCTACAAGAGAACAGTAAAACTTGTAAACCGAGATAAAGTCAAAGCACACAGATTCCACATAAAAAGAGAGAGTACAATGTACTAGTTCTCCACATTTTCTAGCTAGAAAATTAACTGCCATCACTCCAGTGAATGGCAGACTCCTTATTTTCCACTCACCGAATGATTACTCGATTTCATCAATTCAGAAATAACCATAAGAAAAAAGGTACAGGTCCCACAGCTAGAAACCTATTCAGCCCCAAAAGGTTGAAGAATCCAAACAAGGTTAATCAAGCAAAATTGGGTTGTTATTGATCCTAAATGTACGGAAATTATTTAGATCAACTTGGCTAATAAATGGTAAAAGGGGTTAGGCAATAGTGTTGACTAGTTTGCACTTAATATTGCTTAACATTATAAACTAGCTGCTCGCAGTCAAAATGACAAAAGCAAACGTTGAAAGCTAAAGTCCTTATGACCATTCAAAGAAGAAATATCACTTATATAACAAATAACTTCCAAGCAATCAGGTATATATATCAAGAAACAATGTCAATGGATATTATAAAAAAACTTTTGCAAAAAAAAAAACAATGAGATGCTGCAAATTTATTTTATACCAAACAAATAATCCGGCTTCATATACGTTTCCAGAACCACAAAATAGGAAAACAAATTAATAACTTTTGCTACTGATTCAAACCTGAGATATAGCTTCTTGTTCTGCCGAAGGCATTCTTTTCAAAGCAAGTTGTGCAGCATCTTTGAGCTACATCAAATTTTACAACAAAGTGAATAAAAAAAGTTTAGATAATTTGACATCAGAACCATGCTAATTACCATATCCATGGTATACCTGGAGATCTTTCACACGCTTCCCCAGTGGTGGCAGGTCAACAAATAGTTTTTTCACAGAAAGTTCTGGGGGCTTGGCATTCTTGAAAAATGAATGTTTTAGCAACTTTTCTGCAGTAGGTCTCTTCGTTTGATCTTTCACCAAGCACATTGCAACCATTTCTTTAAAAGACTGGTCAAAATGGATGATTGCTTAATAAAGACTGGAAATTAATTTATAAGCAGGTAAAGTGTTTAGTGAACATCTGCACCACAAAACATCATGAATACCTTAGAGAACCTCTTATCACGGTCATAATCAAGTCCAGGCGGGGCATTTTGTATGGTCATCAGCAGAACCTATTGAAAGGTAAAGTGCAACTATTAAGGATGCATTAAGTAGCCTCCAAGAACATAGCCAAGGTATTAAGTAAATTTCAACTACCTTCATTGGAGGATATTTTGAAAATGGTGCGTGCCCATGAGCCAACTCCAATGCAGTTATTCCAAAAGACCAGATGTCAGCCCTGTGAATTTGAAAAGAAGTTCTATAAATTTATAAACCAACACAATGACCCCTTATTATTGCTAGCAATTATGATAGAACATTGGCAAAGGGCCAACACGGCATCATTGATCCAACAAGAAATTGATGGACAAATATCCCTGATAACTCTAAACACCACGGAAAAAGGATACACTTAGTTCTAGGATATTCTGTCTGATATTTCATGTGTAGATGTCTAGAACGGAGGATGAAAGGGTTAATATAGTTTTTTTTGCAGGTTAGCTTCTGTAATAAAAAGAAACTTCTTCGCAAATAGTTCGGTTACATGCATCTTATATTACATCAGAACTGAAAAATGACCAATTCAATCGAAGAGACGAAAGTTCATTAAATTCATATGCATGCCCGCACAAAAACAGTTGCGATGCCTATGCATCACTTCTGGAAAATAAAATACTTCTTATAATAAAACCACGATATAGTTAGAGATTATGAAGTATAACCCACTTGAAATCATATCCAGTTCCGGGCTGCAATACTTCGGGTGCCATCCTGAAAGACATGATGAAACACATGATGGCATTTAGTGTCACCAAGAAGAGACGAACATCCTCAGAGAACTACAAATACAGACACTACACAACACAGAGACAGAGATGGAAAAGGCAGAAATACCAGCATGGAGTACCGACAAAGGTATTTCTTGAACGCTGTCTATCGCCTCTATCAAATAAGCATGCTGAAACACCAAAATCAGCAAGCTTCACCTCACCGTTAGTATCCATTAAAATATTTCCTGCCTATAAGAAGAAGATATCAAACAAATGAGAAATGAATTAAATTGACTTAATGTTGATGACACAAAGAGTATGTCAAATCTAGAAACATGTTCAGTATGAGTCAAGAATTGCAGATTGTCTAACCTTCACGTCACGATGGATATGACCATGTTGATGAAGGTACTCCAAAGCCTTTAAAGTTTCTTTCAAGATAGAACCAATGGCAGATTCTTCGAATCCTTCTGGATATGCTATCTTCATAAGATGTAGGCAAGAACCCTCAGCCATAAATGGCATTATCACCCAAAGATTGCGGTCAACAACAAATGAACAAAATGCTCTTATGACATTAGGATGATCAATTAAGCTCATTGTCTGAGCTTCCCTGCGAATATCATCCTGCAAAGAGAGGATGCATTTATTCAATTAAAATTTAGCCTAACTGCATCCACTTATATATATGAAAAAGAATCCATGTCTGTCAAATAGAATATTTGTTTACTTTATGACCTCAGATATTGAGCATAAGAACTATTCAGTTTCCAGGAAAAGGCTCAGTAACAATACTTCATCAAGCAGAGCACGTTAGCATTCAACTATGATAACACCAGCTAGCAACATTAACAATTCCGACAGGAAAAGAAACTGCTACAAACCAATTGGTTTTCCATAATTTTCCTTTCAGCATACAAGTTTTCTAAGAGGGTTCGACTTATGATATTCCAAATAGTGCAAGTTGATGAACATGGAAGTTTTAGAGTCACTGCAATCTCGCAGACCAATGATATAAAAGAACTTCCTGATGCAAATGTGACTTTTCTGATATGATTTATGAGCAACCGAGATAATAAGGATAAATCATAGTTGCCTCTAGTGCTTTGCTGGTAGTAGATTCAAATTATGTAATGAAACTCATAAGGAGCTAATGATAACAACATGTAATATATCATAAAGGGTCTTATATAATTACCTAAGGTCAACCATGCCTAACTACTGAGAATATACGAGTAAGGCAAGTGGCAGATGTCCAACTGAAGATTTAGACATTTAAAAGTTTGCAGGAGAATTCATACATTATCAGATTTTAGAAAGTTAAAATACTTCAGAAATGGTAAGAATCCAGACAACTAATCAGAGGTGCAGAGATGAAAGTTATGTATTTGCGTAGGTTATGTTTTTGGGGAGTGTCATAAATATTAATATTATATACTAAATCAGGATATCCCTCTACTAATCGAAGATTCTTCAGATTCAATGATCAGATTGGTTAAGGTCTATCATATGCAAAATGTATGGCTTATAGTAAACTGAGAATCATGCAGCTAGCGACTTCTCTGTAAACCATTTATATTTTCAGCAGAACATGTCAACACTTCATGATCTAAGAGATTAAATGTTCAGAAACTGACGTGCTGCCGATGTATTCGAACTTCTTACAACCTCATCTATCTCATTCTGCCCCTATCTTCATTTGACGTAAATCTTGTTCAAATTTTTTTTGCACCTTCCTCTCAATTCAAGTGACAATAAACTTATACCAGCCGCAAATCTATTTTACATAGTTAATTGCAATTTAGTATAAAAAATAAAACGAAACACAAGTGCTAGTCATTTAGTCTTTAAGATGTTTAGTATATCCAAGAGAAATGCAATCTGTGATTCTACTATTTACCATCACACCAAGTATTCTATTGAAACGAGACAATTAGAGATCGATTTGAACAAATAATAAGCACAAAACGCAGTTAAGGTTGTCTGTTGGGTGAACAAACAGCACTAAATTAATTGCTGTGGCATAACTGATGATCTTAGGATCAATTACTCATCAAGGTCGCAAAAAGATATAATTATGAAGGAATCAATTACTCCAAATTTTTGTTGCATTCAACATTTTCGTTAACAGTAATAACTCATTAAGGAACTCTAACTTATGGTCGCAAAAGCATTCTTTATCAAGCAGCCTTTTTGAGAACTTTGCATATTCATATCATCACTAAGTTAAGTCCCTAAAATGGTACTCTTCAAATTAACAAAAAAAACACAAATAATGGAAATTAAACTAAAACAGTTGGTAACTGCTGCTAGCATATTTTAGTTCGGATCTCAATATACTGTCCGTGCCACTTGCATGCATGATATAACTATTCCGAGCGCACTACAAGTCACGGCTTCACTAACATTATGTTGACTAGGAACAGATAAATGAACTTCAAACCTCACCACATAGGCGCAAACAAAAGGCAAATCCAGAACAAACTACAATAATAAATAAATCAAAATAGAGAAATTCAACATTCTGCAGAAAATCACCATCTTAAAACCAATTCTCAAAGGCTTCGAAACTTCAAAGATTTACCCTCCAAACACTATCCAACTTTCCTTCAATTAATTTCACAATGATTCCTCCAAACTCCAAGATCTCAAATTGCAAATAAAAAGAGGAACCATCAACATTCAAAGAAGAACTATAAGAAACACACTCCAACTAGATCAAAACACCACCTCAATCAAAAAAAAAAAAAAAAGCAAAGGTGAAATTAAACTCAAAACAGAAGCTGAATCAATCAAACAAACAAACAAACACTAAAATCGCAAACAAAAACACGGAGCAAGTGCAAAAATTAAACACACCAGATTGCTGTTGCACCGATCGAGATCCAAGCACTTGACCGCCACGACTTCATTGGAAGGCAAGTAGATCGCTCTGTAAACAGTTGCGCTGGCACCGTACCCTACCTCTTCCAATAGCTTGTAATCGTCCGAATTCGCCGAGTAATTCTTCCCCATTTTCTTCATCAAGCCTTTGACGGAAACATCAATCTGAAATCCTCGCCACTTCGATTTTCTCCCCCCCAAACAAAATGAAACACCAAGCCCTATCTCAAAATTCTCCTTGCTTCCGTCTTCGTTGTTAACTGAATTACTTGCAGAGAGTGAGAGTCTACAGATATGGACTCTGTTGAAGTCTTCTGAAGTTCTTCACTTTTCCTCTCTCTCTCTCTCTCTCTGAAACAATACTCTGAATTATAGCGATATATTTTAGATTTTTTATTTGTTTTTTCGACTCCATTTTATTTTTTAATTTTTTATTTTATTTTTTTTATTTATATATATATATATATTTGGTTAGTTTTATTTTTGCGGAATATTGTGAAATGGAAACTATCTATCCGTTGACTGCAAGAGAGATGATAGGAGGAAATTATTGTCTACAACTGCCATGTATCTGATTTCATGCAACCCATTTCATCACATGGTGCACTTTACGCCGACCTCTACTTTGCGGCTTGCGCAATGCAATGTATGGGTGAAAGTCGGATGAAGCCGATCGGAACTAGTCTGTTCGGAAAATCTAGTTTGTTTTCGAAAGTACAAGATTAATTCCAATCTAATTCCAAAAATTTTGGAGTCTAAAATCTTATTCCAATTCCAATACTCTCGAAAATTTCGAATTTCGGAAATAATACAAATTTAAACTTTCAAAACTTAGCGGAATTTTTTTAATTTTTTGGCTTAATTCCACTTTGCACCCCCGAAATTCACCATTTTGGCACTTTGCTCCCCTGAAAACAATTTATAGCACTTTGCATCCTCAAAACACATTTGATTGTTCAAATTGCACCCCGCTCTATTTTCCGGTCATATTTTCCGATGTTGACTAATTTTCTAATTGTTAACAGGGATACTTTTGTCTCTTCATCGACTTTTTCTTTGGGGTGCAAAGTGAAAATGTACCCCTATTGACAATCATAAAATTAGTTAACACCGGAAAATATGACCGGAAAATAGAGCGAGATGCGTTTTGATTGATTAAACGTGTTTTGAGGGTGCAAAGTGCCATAAAAAAGATTCGATGGTGCAAACTGCCAAAATAGTGCATTTCAAGGGTGCAAAATGAAATTAAGCCTTTTTCCATAATTTTACAAAAATAAGGACACCCACTTTGATAAAAGTGTATATTTTTTTGTATAATCCAAATAACAAACATAAGAAACCAAGTTTTTGCAGGTGGGCATGACCCATAAGTACAAATAGATCAAATGAAAGTATTTGGCCTGTAAGGTACAAATATAATTAAATATTTTTAATTTATTTTAGTAATAAGTAATATTAATATATAATATATATTATTTATAGGTGTATTTCCCGGAAAAAAATGAAAAATTTCGGAAATTAAATAGGGTTGAAAATTGAAAATTCCAATTTTATTTTATATAATTTCAATTCCAATCCAAAAACCGGAAATTTTTAAAAATCGGAACTTACGGAAATAAAATGAAAATTTTTGTTCCAAAATCGAAACTTTTCAGATTGGAACCGGCAAAAATTGAAATTTACATTCTAACTTTCACCCCTAGCGCAATGCAATAAAAAATCACGAGGTACTACTTTCACAAGCCAGTTGCACGGAAAATGGATACAGGGAATCCTAACTTTCTAACGCTAAAAGGGCTGGGTGTAGGGGATGATGCCACGTGGATGACATATGATAAGAACGGCTGGGGCCTACGCCACGTGCAATTGATTAATATGGGAATATTCGTCGATTTTTTGGTGCTTATTAAGTTATTATTATGTGAATTTCTTCTTACTAATAATGCCCTGTATGACGTTTTCGTTATTAATTAATTATTAAATAAAGGAATTGGCATCTTGTAGTTACTCCCAATGGCTTTTGTTTTTGCCTATATTAGCTAAATAAATACTACGTTAACCATTAAAGTTTTCTGTTGTATTATTATTAACAATATATATGAATAATAAGATTTTATTCCTTGTTTTTATTTTTTGGATAGTGTTAATTAATATTTTAATTGTAGGAACCATAGCTAGGGTTTTGTTTAATGGGGTCGGAAATATAAGCTAAAAGATTTCTAGGAGACTAGTATTTTGCAGTATTCGAAAAATAACAAATATATATATACAAAACACGAGATTTTCGATGATTGACAGGAGATTGTAGCGAGAGACAACCTAGGACTACATAGTTGTGTGGCGA